TATGAGCTTTAATAAGTAAAATTATCCCAGCTACAATGACAGACAACAAATATTACATTTATAGTATTACAACTAAAATCATTTTTGACGCCCCCACCGTAGTTTGTCCTTCATGAGCATTCGTAGACAAGATGGCGGTGCAAGATGGCGTCTGCCTGTAATAGAGACCCGTGACCATGGAGATATAAACAGCTTTTTATAAGGTAAAAATAATAAAACAAGRTCTTTGTCTGCAATGATTAGACATGTTTTTTTTATTATTGTCATTAGTGATTATCTCAATTTCGGCTAAAAGAACTGACAAAATCCTACATAGTGTGCCTTTAAAGGGGAAATGTCGTGTAAAATCAACTTCTTTGAGCTTTATATCATCTTATTATGTTATCCTCCAATAAACAACATGCCCAAGATCATGCCTTGACTCATTCATGCATGTTTGAGAAATCCTGTAGTGTCCTGAGGCAGCCAGCAGGAGAGCAAAAATGACTGGTTGGTCCTGGAAACCGCCAACTGGGATCAGCTCCAACTCTGTACTGTGTCTCCAAGCTGAGCTTCCTCATCACAGGGCACACACACCCACCTGCCCCATGCTGAAATGGGCGGGACAGAAGTGGAAGGAGATTCTTAAAGAGACAGAGGTCAATTTCAAGGCGTTTAGAAACAGATATGATGAGAAGTCAAGTTTATTTTCTATTTAAACACATAAACAACATTTTAATGACAACTGAACATGACATAGTTACTTTTATTATGGTATAGAATTTAAATTTATGCCTGAGAAAYGCATAATATTGCCCATTTAAATGAATTCTATGGTGCGTCGAGGCAAAACGTTCTGCTGGAGCGGCTTCTATCCTTGTATCTCTTTTGCTGCACAGCAGAGAATCTGATGACATCTAATGAGCAGGTAAATTGTCTGCTAGACATCAGATCCCAAAGATTTAAACTTAAATGAACTTTGTCTCCATGAATGTGATCTCCTGATTAAACCAGCAGCAGCTATTGGAGGCAGATAATGAGGAAAGGTCAGTCAACACTACAGTCATGGTTCAAGATGGACAAACTGTCTATAGTGCGACACCATCAGTGTGATCT